CCCCCTCTGCCGCCGCCACCCCCGACGACGACCGCGCCGCCATCTTGGGCGCGCTGCGTCAGCGGCGTAAAGCCGCGGGGGCCTGCGGGACGGCCGCGCGCTTGCAGCGCAGGCCGCATCCGGGAATCGCACCCTCCCAGTCCGCGCGGCGTAAACGAGCGTTTGGAATGAAGGGGCCGTGCGAATGGAGGCGGCCGAAACGCCAGGAGCGTAGGGGCGAGGAAGGTGGAGCGCGCGCGGAGGAAGTCGGGGGAGAAAGGGGTGCGGGCGCAGGGTCTACCGGCTCGGCTGAGCGGTGGCCGGAGGGGAGACCCGGCTATCCAGCCACGCGGTTTGGCGGAAGGGGAAGCGGGGACTTGCCCAAGGTCGCGCGGCGATTCCGCGGCCGAAGATGACCGAAGGTCAGGCCGCCCCGCCTTCGCTGTGCCCGTTAATCTGGGTGGGGGTGAGGGGGAAAGTCTGGAGGAAAAAGCGGGATGCAATTAAATGCTCTGGAGTGTGCAACCTGAGATACCTAGTGGCAACGCGAGTGAGGGGGATCGGGGGAGGGGCGTTGTGCACATAGCATTGACATGCAGAAGCTCTGGAAGTTTTACTGGCTGGGGCACTAACAGATGTTTATCCTGCAACCCTTGACTGGTGCAAACACAAATGCTTCCTGTTAAGGTAAACAGGAGGGCCAGAAAAGGAAGATACATAATGCAAATCATAAGACATCATCGTTTTTGGCAATCAACGAGGACTATATAGTGTGGATGTCAAACAGATTGTCCAGGGGAAAATATATATCCAGACGCTGTGGAGCAAGGAAAAATGGAATATAACCTGTGCATGTTCTCAGCAGCCCAGACCAAACATAATACCATGTCCATTCCCTGAATGTGGTTAAATCCTGTGCAGGATTTGTCTGTGAGTTGCTCGTTGCCCTTCTTTAATTTGCTTGTATTTTGAAACCAAATCTTCGTTGGTATCTCAGTTACATCATTTATTTACCTCTATTTGGCGTTTGGCAATCAGAAGTCACTTAATACATTGCAACTAATATTGACATTTCACTTAACCCTTGCCACATAAAATGCGGGATTTCAGTTAATTTGGGTCAATCCTCATGCAATAGAATTCCCAAAATCTCGGTCATTTTGGTTGTCTTTCTAGTTTTCTGCCATTAGGTCTCTAAAAGGAAGGAAGGAAAAAAAACAAGTTCTGGCTATAGAAATCCTGTAACATGTTCATTTGTCAAAAATTTGAAAAATACAGAGGGCATAAAAAACTAAATCATGTATTTTTGAACACATTCTGTAGAGATCGGTAGCCTGCTCCCGCCGCCCCTCCCCCCCCGTCCTATCCCCCATGCTGGTTTTTTTTTTTTAATACCATTTCTAATTACTACCTGATAGTCCATCATAGGGATGCACCATCATTTTACCTTTTCCTCATTGTTAGAAGCTTAGGTTGTGTCCTCTGTTTCATTAGAACAGTAATGAATGTCCCTGTACATAAATCCTTATCCCTATTTCAGATATTCCCTTAAGATAAATTCCCAGAGGCAGATCGAGGTTGGTGGGAACATATTTCTGGCTTTTGCTGCCTGTTGCCAAAGCCTTCCCAGAAAAGTTAAATACAGTCACTCCGGCAGCTGGACAGCTACACTGTACTATGTGCCACTTTCTTAGGGTTGAGAGCAGAATTGCAAATGGCATTTCAGGTCTCAGTACAGCAGAGTAGAGACAATAAGCAAGTTAGATCGGGGCGCCTGGGTGGCTCAGTGGTTGGGCGTCTGCCTTCGGCTCAGGTCGTGATCCCAGGGTCCTGGGATCGAGCCCCACATCGGGCACCCTGCTCAGCAGGAAGCCTGCTTCTCCCTCCCCCACTCCCCATGCTTGTGTTCCCTCTCTTGCTGTCTCTCTCTCTGTCAAATAAAATCTTTAAAAAAATAATAATAAGTTAGATTGTAAACTCACGAGCAGGACCTGTGTCATTTATCTTCATATTTCCACCTACTAGCACAGGGCCTTGTCCAAAATAAGAATTCAGTAAACGTTGATCGAATAGGTGGATGCAGTTTTTCTGTTGGTTTCTAATTCCTTCTCCAGCTTTTATGGGCCTGTCTAGTTGCAAGAACCCACAAGACCACTCCCACATTTCTTGCCTTACTAGTAATTACTTTTTCTTTGTTCAGGAAACTTAACCAAAGGATCCCACCCTTTCCTGGAAGACAGTGGTAAATACCAGTTTAAATTCATTTAAAAAGTATACTTATTAACATATTAGTCCAGTTAAATACTTCTCCAAAAGTGCTATAAGAAAAAACTGATACGCAAAACGCTGCCTAGAGCTTATGACCATGTTAAAGTGTAAGGTATTTCTTAACTTACAGAAAACTGGGAGTTGTTGATTTCTCTCTATCTTCTATCCAACTGATAATAAACTCCACTGCTTCTGCCTTCTTGACATCCTCAACCCCGGCCCCTTCTCTGCTTGCCCTGTGCCATTACTTCATTGGGACTCCCCCTCTTGCCTGTACGATGGCCTCCTTGGCTGCTGTCCATCCTCCCCCTGCAGCAAGGTGAATCCTTCCCAATGCAGATCTAAATAAGTCACGGCCTTGAATTAAACCCTATTTGTTCCTCAGTGCTTTCAAGATACAATCCAAATTCTCCCAGGAGATACCAGACCCCACAGGAGCTTAGTCTAGTCATTCAAAACTACTTAGTTTCTTGAACCTCTAACCTTCTAATCTTCTAAGTCTTTGAACATGCCTCCCTGGTGTCCGGAAGGCTCTTCTTCCAAGACCATCACCTACTTCCTTGTCCCTCCCCGTCCACCCAGAGAGAAGCCAAATTATATTTATCCTTCAAAACTCAAAAGTTACTGCCTAATGGCCTCTGTCCTTCCTACTGCCTGAGTTTGTCCTGCTTTATCACATTGTCACATGATATTGTCACTGGGTTTTTTGTTTTTGTTTTTTTGCCAATCTCATATTTCAAACTTACTGAAGGCAGGGTCTGTCTCTCACTTATCCTTGTCTATTTCACTCAGCAGTTATCCCAGGGCCTGACCTAGAACTCACCTCAAAGGAAGTTTATTGGGCGCCTGGGTGGCTCAGTTGGTTGGGCGACTGCCTTCAGCTCAGGTCATGATCCTGGAGTCCCGGGATTGAGTCCCGCATCGGGCTCCCTGCTCGGCAGGGAGTCTGCTTCTCCCTCTGACCCTCCCCCCTCTCATGTGCTCTCTCTCTCATTCTCTCTCTGTCAAATAAATAAATAAAATCTTAAAAAAAAAAAAGAAGTTTATTGATGGAAGAACAACTACTGTCCTTCCAGAACCTGATCTTGAATATAGAGCTTAATCACTTGTCTATAGGAACACCCTCCCTATAATCTGTCCTCTGAATGAAGGTCACTAGCATTCTCCTGATCCCACATTTCAGAGATCATCTGTAATAACTTTTTAGGGTGAATCCTGGATGAAATGACAAAATGCAGAAAATGGTTTTCACAGGTTCCTTAGTCCATCCTGCTCCTGTAGCATGCCTTTCTCTCCTCCCCCCCACCAGGACTACCTTGTTCATCCCACCAAGTCCCCCAGGAGCACCTACTGTTTCTGATCTTTGCTTTTGTACAAGTTACTTATTGATACATAACAAATCTCCTCAAAACTTAGTGGCTTAAAACATGAATCATGGGGCACCTGGGTGGCTCAGTCAGTTAAGCATCTGCCTTCGGCTCAGGTCATGATCCCAGAGTCCCACATCGGGCTCCCTGCTCAGCAGGGAGCCTGCTTCTCCCTCTCCCTCTGCCTGCCACTCCCCCTACTTGTGTGCCCTCTCTCTCTTTCTGTCAAATAAATAAATCTTTAAAAAAATGAATCATTTAGGGCGCCTGGGTGGCTCAGTTGGTTAAGCGACTGCCTTCGGCTCAGGTCATGATCCTGGAGTCCCGGGATCGAGTCCCGCATCGGGCTCCTTGCTCAGCGAGGAGTCTGCTTCTCCCTCTGACCCTCCCCACCTCATGCTTTCTCTCTCTCTCAAATAAATAAAATCTTTAAAAAAAAAAAAAAATGAATCATTTATTATTTCTCATGATTCCTGTGGGTTAAGAATCCGGGAGTGGCTTGACTGAGCAGTTCTGCTTTGTGTCTCTCATAAGGTTGCAATCAGGTGTTGGCTGGGCCTGCTGTCATCTGAAGACTTGACGGAGCTGCAGGATCCACTTCCAGTGTGGCTTCTCACATGGCTGGCAGTTGGAAGGAGGCTCAGTGCCTTTTGGTGTGAACTTCTCCATGGGGCCACCTGAGCATCCTCACAACATGGTTGAATTCCTCCAAGAGCAAATAATACAAGATTCCAAGACTGAATGAACTGCAGTGCCTTTTATGACCTGGCTTTGAAAGTCATACTTTGTTAGTTCCACAGCTTCCTACTGATCATATAAGTCAGCCTTAGTGTGGGAGATTACACATTATACCAGAAGGCAAGGATCACTGGGGCCATAGTTGAAGCTGCCTAGCACACCTCTCATAAAATTTACCTGGGGGCACCTGGGTGGCTCAGTTGTTAAACATCTGCCTTCGGCGCAGGTTGTGATCCCAGGGTCCTGGGATTGAGCCCCGCATCAGGCTCCCTGCTCCGCAAGAAGCCTGCTTCTCCCTCTCCCACTCCCCCTGCTTGTGTTCCCTCTCTGGCTGTGTCTCATAAAATCTTTTTTTAAAAAATTAATTAAATAAAATTTACCTGGCCTCTAGTTCATTCATCCATTGCCCATGTATCCCAGGCAGCGTACCTAACAGAGGGGAAGGAGATAATTCTTAAGAATAGGCTACCCTTCTATAGATGATAGTGGGTGGTTACAGATTTAAATCAAATAATCTCTTTTTTAAAATATTTTATTTTTAAGCAATCTCTACACTCAACGTGGGGCTTGAACCCACAACCCTGAGATCAAGCGTCACATGCTGCACCAGCCAGGCATCCCTTAAATAATTAATCTTAACAAATATGTAATTCTACTAAAAATGTCCAATTTTCTAAAAGTCCTATAGGTGAAGCCCTAGTAAATACATTTCAAGTCCCAGGGCAGGCCTAAGGGGAAAATTTTTAATAGGGTTACAAAATTGAACTTATTTACTTCTCCTTTCCATAGGGTCAGTCAAGTTTTGGCCCATGCCTCCCATCTGTTTTGATGCCACTATATCACTATATGGTTGTAGCTCATCTCAGCTGACCAAGCTTTTCTCCCTGTCTGCTTCAAAAATGGAATACCATCAGAGGTAAAGAAAAACATATAAGGAAAACCTAACAGTTATAAATATGAAACAGCTTCAAAATACATGAAGAGGGGCGCCTGGCTGGCTCGGTTGGTGGAGTGTATGACTCTTGATCTCAGGGTTGCAAGTTCATGCCCCACGTGGAATGTAGAGATTACTTAAAAAACAACAACAAAAACCCCAAAATACATGAAATAAAAACAGAAGTAAAAAGACACATACACAAATCCACAATCTTTGATGGAGATTACATAGCCTCTGTCTCAGTAAATGATAAAACAACTCAATAAAAAGCAGGAGGAATGTCAAAGCTCTGAACATTACCAATCATTTTTACCTAATTGATATGTGTAGAGTACTATACCCAACAAGTGTAGAATACACATCTGTTTAAAGTATACATAGACCAGGGGCGCCTGGGTGGCTCAGTCGTTAAGCGTCTGCCTTCGGCTCGGGTCATGATCCCGGGGTCCTGGGATCGAGCCCCACGTTGGGCTCCCTGCTCCGCAGGAAGCCTGCTTCTCCCTCTCCCACTCCCCCT